TCCTTCCTCTCTCCGGGCAAACAACTGTTGCGACCACCGCTTCCCACCAATGTGAAATAGGTTTATTACCATTTATTACCCATGTTTACCATCTTGTTGGGTGATGTCATGGTAGCGGGAGTAAATGATTAGTCTTCGGAGGCTTCTTACTTTATTTGCAAAGTCGTGGTGGGTACACAGGCTTGTGTGTTTGTGCCCATGGCCCGGGAGGGCCATGCCCACAAGGAAGAGAGGAGTGGACACTTCTTGACTTAGTGAAAGGTGTCGACAGAGTGAGAACGAGTGGGACCAGCGTCCCACTGACCTGGGCAGGACTAGAGAGGGCAGCACCTGAGTGCCGCGAAATATGAACTCAGCTGGCAGACAGCATAGGCTGTCTGTGCAGACAGTACAGGCTGTCTACAGGAGCACCTGGAACGGAACAAGAGTATAAACGCCAACCAGCATGGATTTATGGAAGGTAAATCTTGTGTTACAAACCTACTGGAGTTTTATGATAAAGTAATGGAAGTAAGACAGGAGAGAGAGAGGGGGGGGGCGATTGCATCTTCTTGGGCTGCAAGAAGGCCTTCGACACAGTTCCTCACATGAGATTGGTGCAGAAGCTAGAGGATCAGGCACGTATAACAGGAAGGGCGCTGCAATGGATCAGAGAATATCTGACAGGGAGGCAACGAGTCATGGTACGTGATGAAGTATCACAGTGGGCACCTGTGACGAGCGGGGTCCCACAGGGGTCGGTCTTAGGACCAGTGCTATTTCTGGTATATGTGAATGACATGATGGAAGGGTTAGACTCGGAAGTGTCCCTGTTCGCAGATGATGTGAAGTTAATGGGGAGAATTAAATCAGATGAGGACCAGGCAGGACTTCAAAGAGACCTGGACAGACTGGACACCTGGTACACCAACTGCCTTCTCGAATTTAACCCCGTCAAATGCAAAGTCATGAAGATCGGGGGAGGGCACAGAAGACCGCAGACGGAGTATAGGCTAGGTGGTCAAAGACTGCAAACCTCGCTCAAGGAAAAAGATTTTGGGGCGAGTGTAACACCGAACACGTCTCCAGAAGCACACATCAACCAGATAACTTGCTGCAGCATATGGGCGCCTGGCAAACCTGAGAACAGCGTTCCGGTGCCTTAGTAAGGAATCAAGACACTGTACACCGTGTACGTCAGGCCCATACTGGAGTATGCAGCACCTGTTTGGAATCCACATTTGATCAAGCACGTCAAGAAATTAGAGAAAGTGTAAAGGTTTGCAACAAGGTTAGTTCCAGAGCTAAGTGGAATGTCCTACGAAGAAAGGCTAAGGGAAATCGGCCTGACGACACTGGAGGACAGGAGGGTTAGGGGAGACATGATAACATACAAAATACTGCGTGGAATAGACAAGGTAGACAGAGACAGGATGTTCCAGAGATGGGACACAGAAACAAGGGGTCACAATTGGAAGTTGAAGACCCAGAGGAGTCAAAGGAATGTTAGGAAGTATTTCTTCAGTCATAGAGCAGTCAGGAAGTGGAACAGCCTAGCAAGTGAGGTAGTGGAGGCAGGAACCATACATAGCTTTAAGATGAGGTATGATAAAGCTCATGGAGCAGGGAGAGAGGACCTAGTAGCACACAGTGAAGAGGCGGTGTCAGGAGCAGTCTCTCGACCCCTGCAACCTAAATCTTAAGGATCATCCTATGCTGGTGGTAATCCTTATGAGCGTTGGTATCTCCACGCTGCTAACGTTGTTATCCCTACGCTGCAAACTTTGGTATCCACACGCTGCTAATGTTGGTATCCCCGCGTAGATGTTACCCCCACGCTGATAACGTTATCCCCACTAATAACGTTGGTATCCTCACGCTGATAACGCTGGTATTCCCACGCTGCTAACTTTGATATTCCCACGCTTATAACAGTAGTATTCACACGCTGATAATGGTGGTATCCCCACGCTGATCACGTTGGTATTCCCACGATACTAAAAGTGGGAGTGTTTGATGTGTTCATCAGTCATCATACTTTATATATTCATCAACCATCCTGGTTTATTTACTTTATTTATTTTACTTATTTTCCAAAAATATTTTCCCACCAAACATAAGCCGAAACATTTCGAAAGAGATAGAATTTGATATCAATTTACAGTGTGATGGACGCTGTTATTACTCGATGAAAATTAACATATTTGCTAATTAAACTCTCATTACAAATAATACTGACTTAAATTACCTGTATCCTATTAAATCTTAATTTCAGTTAAACTTGTTAAATTTGTTAAATACGAATGAATCTAGGAACTTTTTTCACGGGTTATGTTATTAAAGTTTCAACATGTTAATAAGCGAAGTGTAAAATTGCGATTTTTTGTGTGTAATTATGTTGTGTCCTGTACTGGGAAAGTGTTAATGAAGACGTGTATATACCGTGAATATTTTTAATGAATATTCAACCTTTTTGGTGTGAGCTGCCATTTTTGTTTTCATGCGGTTTTTGTTTGAGGTAAGATCGACCCAAATGTTGTTTTCTGTTTGTTTGTCGTAGATACACATACATATACAAACACACACAGACACACAAACACACACAGAGTGATGTAATGGAGGTAGGAACCATACATAGGTTTAAGAGGTATGGTAAGACTTATGGAGCAGAGAGTGGATCAAGCAGCGACCAGTTAAGAGGCAGGGCCAGGGGCAGTGATTCGACCCCTGCAAGCACAATTAGTTGAGTACAATTAGTAGTACACACACACACACACACACACACACACACAACTTCGGTATCACTGTCGATAATTTTTTTTTCTATTTTTTGTAGGGTTCCTGACAGGTTTATCATGCTGGAGGAAATGAACCAATTTAGGCTCGTCCAGTCTAAAATGGAACACGCAATTACCCACTCATTACCGACGTCGCTTTTCCAAAATATTTATCAACTAATTCAAAAGTAAAATTGAAATGCCATTTTTTTTCCTCACTCTCCTCAAATGTTTCGTGTTTAGATAACACGGTGTGAAAATTGTGCGGAAAACTGCCCTAGTTCATGGAAAAAATAATTTTAACTTCCATGGACGCAAACTATTTTATTTTTAGTTATGGTTCGTCGTCAAGTTTCGTTTGACGTAAATAATTTGATGTCAGTTCAATGCGTACTGTATTTGCGTATTTTTAAAAGAGCGTGATTTCTGCTTGTAAGGTAGCATCATTGTGACGATAGTGGTACACAATACCGGCAAGATGAGGAAATAGGTACACACGCAACACATGGCTGTCTGTATTTGAAGAAGGTACTCAGGTGTTGTCGTTGTTGCACCGTCATATCTGGTAAACAACATGGTTTATGCAAGTTATAAAATGTCTGAAACACTCGCTTGCATCCTTGCTCACTCTCTCCTTTTTCTCTATTTCTCCTATATATATTTTTTTTTTTTTTACTTTTTCAAGCATCAGTGCACAAATCTTCACACTGTACCCACTCTTCTAATCTTTCAGTTGCAGCTCATCGGCTTCATATCTTCTCCTGACCTCATTTTTCTCCTGCATCTCACCATTATGTAAATCTGGTCAGGACGCGCGCGCGCGCGCACACACACACACACACGCGCGCGCGCGCACACACACACACACACACACACACACACACACACACACACACACACACCACGATCCATACATAGCTTTAAGAAGAGGTTCGATGAAACTTAACGAGAAAGGAGAGTGGACCTAGTAGCGACCAGCGAAGAGGGTGGGACGAGGAGCTATGAATCGACCCCTGCAACTACAAATTGGCTAACAACACACACACACACACACACACACACACAACACACACACACACACACACACACACACACACACACACACACACACACACACACACAGTTATGCGTTGCATTACAAACAAACGTTCAGGTTCCATGATTTTTAATGAGCGTTCGCACCTGACTCCACATCCACACCAATTATGTTTCACCCCCTCTCCACCAGGCGCAGGAGAAGGGTAAGAGGTAAAGAGGGAGGAAAAATGGGGGGCGGGGAGAAGAGGGAATAAGAAATGGGAAGGAAGAGAAGGATGGGGAAGGTAAAGAAGAGATGAGATCGAGAGATGAGGCATGGGAGATAAGTAAAGAAGGAACGGGACAAATTGGGGAGAGGTTGGGTAGTATACAGGGATACAAGAGATGAGGAAAGGTACAGGAAAAGCGTAAGAGAATGAAAGAAAAGGTTCAAGAGGAGAGATTAAAGGAAAGAGGGTGAAAGAAAAGCAACAGAGGACAAGGTAAAGGAAAGGGTGGAAGAGGAGGGATTAAAATCGAGCAAAAAAAGGAAAGTGAAAGAAGAGAAGCATTTCCATCACCGGTAAATTATCTTCATTAATATGTAGCACACGAGGGGAAACATTCCTCTCTATTCACATTTGTCATGGTGTGCATTTTAACATTTTCCACTATTTTCCTAGTGTTTACATTTTCGGGGAGACAGTAGAACCACGCCTACAATAAGCTATCATTAGTCAGACAACAGTAACTTTAGGGCCTACGACTCGGGATCCACAGACCTAATTTGTAAGTACAAATAGCCTAATACACTGTTGAATCGTTGTTGGCTTTATTTTTATGTCATGTCAATATTTCCTAAATGTATTTTATACGAATGTTGCAGTTTGTTGAAGATGCACGCGAAACTTTCTTTTAAAAGATGTTTCTCATTATATCTCAAACTTTTCCTAATATCTTTCCTTTTCTTCCTACCTCCGTATCTTTTTTTCTTTTCTCTTTCTATTCCAAGGTTTTTCACCAATTTTCCTTTTCTTTCTTCCCACCTGTGTCTTTTCCTCATCCTCTCCGTTTTTCTCCCCTCTTCTTTCCCTTATTCTCCCTACCCTTTTCTTCCTCTTCTCCCATTTCTCTCTCTCTCTCTCTCTCTCTCTCTCTCTCTCTTATGATATATGATATGATACAGCTGTCCTTGACTAATGGCAGACTTTGTTTCTCTGACAACAGTGACGAAGTTGGTTGGGAGCGACCCAGTGGAGTTCGAGCGACCAGAATATGTCACCGAAGTACCAGAGAACACCACCAGAGATCTACTTCTGCAACTCTCTGCCCGAGTCCAGTCTTCAGGTGGGTCTTTATCCAGGCACTGTTCCAGGTCTTCACCACTGCCCAGGTGGGTTCTTGTCCAGACATGTTTCAGTTTTCATTGTACTTACCAGTGACCGAGTCAACTGGTCCCTGCAACTGCCCAGGTCCAGCCTCCAGGTTGGTACTTTTTCCTGCACTGTCTGATTCAGTCTCTGTGGTCCTTATCCCGGCACTGATACCTGGTTATCACTACCCGAGTTTAGTTTCCAGGTGAGTAGTTTTTATCCTGGCACTGATACCTGGTCCTCATCACTACCCGAGTTTAGTTTCCAGGTGAGAAGTTTTTATCCTGGCACTCATACTGTGTCCCGTAGCTCGGTTGGTAGCAGACTCAGCTCGTACATTGAGTGTCCGTGGTTCAATCACCGGTATGGGTGGAAATATTGGGCGTGTTTCCTTAAGACTCCTGCTGTCCCTGTTAACTAAGCAGTAAATAGGTACCTGGGTGTTAGCCGACTGGTTTGGGTTGCATCCTGGGGACAAAATTAAACTAAGTTGCCCGAAATGCTCTGCATAACCAGGGATTTTCTATATAATATGTCACTGATGTCAGCTAGGTCTGTATAAGTTGTATCATGTACTTGTAGAAATTATTATTGATTGTTGTCCATCCTTCCTCTCTGTGTCTGTGTTTGTCTGTCTCTCCTACCCTTCATTCTCCCTCCCTCTGATACCCTTTACTCTCCCTTCTTCAGCTATCATTCTCCCTGTTTCCCTCTACTACCCTTCTGTCTCTCCTTCCTCACTCTACTACCCTTCTCTCCTCCCTCCGTCCCTCCCTTCCCTTCCCTTCTCACCCTCAGCAGCAGCTACTGCAGTATGCATGTCGGGCAGGGCGGGCGCCTCTCTGGCTGTAAAACTCTGTTGGAACACTTGACAAACATTGTAAGTTTCTTTTTTTTACTGACTTCCCCTTCCGCAGGAGCACGCAAAAATGACTCGATTAATTTGCAAGGTGCAGCTTGATGCTGCAATTTGAGTCACATTATAGTTAAAATATCATCCATTGCAATGGAACGTTTTTATTCACACGTCTTTATCTTTCGTCGGTCTCCCCTCATTTCATTTTTTTTTTTTGAGTGACAATTGAGAGTCACAGGTGCTGATTTTCCCACCACGATTGACGAGTGCAGATCTAAAGGTTCAGGCTAAGGAGGCTCAAACTACAGAAGTTCAGGCTACACAGGTACAGGCTACACAGCTTCAGACTACAAGGGTTTAGGCAACCGAGGCTCCAGCTACAGAGATTCAAGTTAGACAAAATTTAAGCTACAGAGATTCAGGCTACAGGGGCTCAAGTAACAGAGGTCCAGGCTACAGAGAATCAGACTACACCTACTGAGTTTCAGAAGACTCCTACAGATTTCCAGGCAACAACTACCTACATTAAGGACTCGTCCCTATGTAGCGGACACCAATGCAGCGATCACAGGTAAAGCAGTTTCCACAGAGAGAGAACTTTAACAAACCACCAAAGCGACATCTTATCCTTCTGGCCTCAAAGGCTGCACTGCGTAAAACAGGAAGACCTTACACTGCAGACTCCTCGCGGTAGCAACTGTATTCTTGCCAGTACTGTTTTTTTTTTTACCAAGAGCAAGCCAATTCTATTACTGAAATAAAAAAAAAAAAAGTATCAGCGCAGGTACCGCAGCAACCTGCTGTCAAATTTTCCAGGCTACAGACATGGTGACTCATTTTTTTTTCAACCCCCCCTCTGAGTAAATATATTCTTGGGTTCCTGACTTGCCGCACACTAACTTTCTTCTCTCTCTCTCTCGCCCTTCCTTCTTCTGTCACTATCCCTCCTCCTTTCTCTCCCACTCTGTCCCTCCACTCACCTTTCTCAGACACTCAAAGATTCTACATTATTAAGAATGTTGAAGATTGAGACACTTAACAATATATGGGAATCTTTATTGTAAGGAAACGTTTCGCCACACATTGGCTTCATCAGTCCAATACAAAGCAGAAAGGTGTAAGGAGAAGAAGAATTTTAAGTAATTAGTCCCTCAGCCTGGAGTCGATGTGTTCAGTCCATCAATTTTGTAGAATGATGGACTGAACACATCGACTCAAGGCTGAGGGACTGATTACCTCAAATTCCTCCTCTCCTTACACCTTTTTGCTTTGTATTGGACTGATGAAGCCACTGTGTTGTGAAACGTTTTCGCAATAAAGATTCCCATATGTTGCATATGTGTCTCAATCTTTAACTTCTCGGTTTTTTAAACCATTTATCACATTATTAAGAATAAACTGTTATTCTAATGTTAAAAACTAAACCTTATTACCACGTATTAAAAAAACCTTCCCAACAAATCTAATAAATTCGGTCACTCTCCCACTTTTATTTACCCAAGAGGAAATCACACAGCATAAAAAAAAGGGATTGGGCTTTTTGTTACAAAATTCGCTCATTGATAAAACGAACACACACATAGGAATACAAAACGCCATAGGATTACAAAACTGAAAATCCAGGGACAAGATATTAGACATATAGACAGACAAAAGTTACAAACGAGACAGGTATCACCAACTATATACCAGCCAAGCGTCTCATTAAATGGTGACGAAACAATTATCGCCAATTGAAAAAAAACGTCCAGAGACTTAATGAATTGTAGGTTCCTGGACGCGATGCCTGGAAGCCTCCTGTGGCTCTGGTGATGCCTGGCACCCTTTTGTGTGTGACTCTGGTGATGCCTGGCACCCTTCTGTCTCTGACTCTGGTGATGCCTGGCACCCTTCTGTCTCTGACTCTGGTGATGCCTGGCACCCTTCTGTCTCTGACTCTGGTGATGCCTGGCACCCTTCTGTCTCTGACTCTGGTGATGCCTGGCACCCTTCTGTCTCTGACTCTGGTGATGCCTGGCACCCTTCTGTCTCTGACTCTGGTGATGCCTGGCACCCTTCTGTCTCTGACTCTGGTGATGCCTGGCACCCTTCTGTCTCTGACTCTGGTGATGCCTGGCACCCTTCTGTCTCTGACTCTGGTGATGCCTGGCACCCTTCTGTCTCTGACTCTGGTGATGACTGGCACCCTTCTGTCTCTGACTCTGGTGATGACTGGCACCCTTCTGTCTCTGACTCTGGTGATGACTGGCACCCTTCTGTCTCTGACTCTGGTGATGACTGGCACCCTTCTGTCTCTGACTCTGGTGATGACTGGCACCCTTCTGTCTCTGACTCTGGTGATGACTGGCACCCTTCTGTCTCTGACTCTGGTGATGACTGGCACCCTTCTGTCTCTGACTCTGGTGATGACTGGCACCCTTCTGTCTCTGACTCTGGTGATGACTGGCACCCTTCTGTCTCTGACTCTGGTGATGACTGGCACCCTTCTGTCTCTGACTCTGGTGATGACTGGCACCCTTCTGTCTCTGACTCTGGTGATGACTGGCACCCTTCTGTCTCTGACTCTGGTGATGACTGGCACCCTTCTGTCTCTGACTCTGGTGATGACTGGCACCCTTCTGTCTCTGACTCTGGTGATGACTGGCACCCTTCTGTCTCTGACTCTGGTGATGACTGGCACCCTTCTGTCTCTGACTCTGGTGATGACTGGCACCCTTCTGTGTGTGACTGATGATGACTGGCACCCTTCTGTCTGTGACTCTGATGATGACTGGCACCCTTCTGTCTGTGACTCTGATGATGACTGGCACCCTTCTGTTCTCTGGAGTCTTCTGTTGATTGTGCACCCTTCTGTCTCTGACTCTGTGATGACTGGCACCCTTCTGTGTGACTCTGGTGATGACTGGCACCTTCTGTGTGACTCTGGTGATGACTGGCACCCTTCTGTGTGACTCTGGTGATGACTGGCACCCTTCTGTGTGACTCTGGTGATGACTGGCACCCTTCTGTGTGACTCTGGTGATGACTGGCACCCTTCTGTGTGACTCTGGTGATGACTGGCACCCTTCTGTGTGACTCTGGTGATGACTGGCACCCTTCTGTCTGTTGCAATGAAGTGGGGAGAGAAAGAGAGAATCACTCATCATAGTCACAGGAGAAGAGTTAATCTATTCCTGTGGAGTTTCGTTTTCGTTGTTTGTCATACAATTTGTTAGTCTGAGAGGCTGTGAGAGGCTGTGAGAGGCCTGAGAGGCTGTGAGAGGCCTGAAAATCTGTGAGAGGCTGTGAGAGGCCTGAGAGGCTGTGAGAGGCCTCTCACTATTTTTTGTCCTTTGAATAATTTCGTATCATGTTCTCCCATTTCTTTTTCCTAAGGAAGACAGTCATCCTACTTTTTAAATACTCCCCCCCCCCAATGTAATTTTCGTTCTTTCCTAAAGTAAGACAGGTGCAAAATTTAGGTATATCTAATCCGAAAGGTTTCGCTTTCACTGTAGGCTTCTTCAGTCGATTACAGAGGAAGCAGCAGAAGCAGTAGAGATGTGAAGACGATGAACCCAGACCAACACCCTCAACATGATTTGTTAGGAAACAGGACAAGTGTTTCCTAACGCGGGTCAATAGTCATGTGACGACCCGCCGTTGGAGCTTCTGCTGCATTACCGGTCCACCCCTTTAAAAATTTTGATAATCAATATACCCATTTTTTTTCCTTTTTAGTTGTGGACACTGCTACAGCTACACACGTCATTGTTGATCTGACCTGTGTTGGCAATAACATTTTCACGGGACCACGATCCATATATCAAAACTATTTTCATGCATGTCATTGTACTATACCAGTTTCTAACGCGTTTACTGATAGTTTTTTTCCCCGTTCAAAACCAGAGTAAAACAAATTTTGTTTTATGTCAGGTTAATGTAAATAAATTTTATCTACCTTCAATTAACCTCGAAACAAATTTTTGTTCCTTAGAGCGTTGGTATCCCAGGTAGTCTGTTGATATCCCCAGGGACGCTCTTGTTATCCCCAGGCGCACTCTTGTTATCCCCAGGCGCACTCTCGGTATCACCAGGCGCACTCTCGGTATCACCAGGCGCACTCTCGGTATCACCAG